TTTTTTTATTTTATTGTACACGTAACTACCCCTTATCTGGTTTCTTACAAATATTTCCATCCAAAGGTTGTCTGGAAGAAATCACCATTGTGTGATAAGACCGCCCATTGTACGCATATTTACTTGAATTGGGTTTAAAGAATTTTTTTTTTTAATTGTTTGTTTTAAACTACATAAATGTGTACAATAAAGCATATATAAATAAATAAATAAATAAATATATATAAATTAACTCGTCGAGCACCGGTTTTGTAGACACAATTATAGAACAATAGGTTGCGGTCACCGGTGACCGCTTGGTGTTTGACAGTTTAAATAAATAAATTTTATTATCCGAATCGGGCCTCCGGTAACTTCACGCATATTACATCAATCGGGCAAACACAACGCAAGCGTTGTTCACTCCGGTCGAGGCCCATTCGCGCCGAAGGTTGGCTCATGGCTCTCCTACGTGTAAACATGCATCAAACTAACGATTAATCAAATAAATAATGTATGTCAGATTAAAAACATGTTTCATTTCAAACTCTAAAGAAACAATAATATTCTCTGTTGAGTTTTTAGTAGTATGTAAGACCAAGGACGTTAAAAACTCGACATTATACAGATGGGACCATGATAGAACTGTAAAAGTCACTTCAAAAGATACACCGTAGCTAGGTTACCTAGGAAATAAAATGATCTATTTTTAATCTTAGGTTATCGAAGACGTTAAGCTTCTCATGCATGAGGGTGCGAGTTTGAAACCTACCAACGGCAAGTACCAATGTCACTTTTTCCGAGTTATATGTACTTTCTAAGATTATTTAGACACCACTGACAACGGTACAGAAAAACATCACGAGGAAACCTGGACTAATAATTTCTAATTGGGTAATTGCCAACTAAGCAAATTCAATACTTTTTTCGAACTGTCAAAAACGAGAGTGTTCTATGAATTTTGTACGAGATTGTGTATTGTGACGTCACGTTTTTTTAGCGTCAAACAGCGTACTTATTACTTAAAATATACTAAAATTAAGTTGGTCATGAAATTAAATAATGAATGATTATTTTTTTAACATTTTATTGTAGTGAACAGTCGAAATAATTTATTTTGATTGAGGCAAGTACCCAATTTTAAGTTTGAAATCGTTAACCTACAATTAGCAAGCGTGTTTGTTAATGTTCAAACCTTAACCTTCTCAGTGTTAGAAGTCGCTTGCTCAGCAGTGGCCACTATTGGGCTGTTGATTTGGAAGACCTATTGAATAAAATTATTTTCTTATTATCGAGGCTGTGTAAATTGACTTCTCGCAGTCTGTTGCCGGCAGAAAGTTTCTTTAAGGGGTAGAATGATTGAATGACCTCCCACCTGACGAGGCCAGATGGAGTGTCAGAAATCAGACTCTTACTGACTAAAAACCACTCCGTTCCTACTTCTGTCCTTCGAGCCGGAGCACCGGCGACCCGTTAAATCTTCCGCGGCTCTGTATCGACGTCACCTTTATTGGACCCCATCTGTGGTGGTCTGATAGCTCTTTGACGGCGCGCGCAGGACGCGCCTTACGCTCGGTTACGCTCGCTTACTCTTGAAGTCAATCTCAATGCCAATACAATTTCAATGCAATCAAATCTCAATAATTATTCAATGTCAAAACTATAGTTCTATAGTGTACGATAGGGGTTGCCCTATCGTAGCTATTAAAATAGCATTTAGAGTGCGGAATGTAAAGCCAAACGCAATACCATTTAGTTCATTAAATACCCACGCAATACGGATGCAATGGATGCTAGTTTTGCAACTCAAGAGGGCGAAATATCACAATGCCAATGTCGATCGATCGGAATTGGATTCAAGAGTAAGCCCCCTGGTTGGTCCGCCGGCAGCAAGTTAAAACATGACGGATCGGAAACTGATAGTTAGTTCCCATATTTTCTGCCTAGTAATCTATTAATATAAGAAATGTAGGTAAACGCTTCGAACGAGTGTAAGGGATTAGAAAAATAAATAAAACCACTGAATACAGCATTTTCATAATTATTTATTTATTTTATCAATACATAAACTTGTGCTCATAGCAATTTATAAAAACATTTCATCTCATTTCTATATTAAATTGTTTATTTTAAAGAACGTGATTCCATTTTTATTAAGTTATATTTATTTTACCTCCATTTTTGTTTGACGTTTTGAAATGTCAATCATCACAGATTAGTGTAAGAAAACAGATTAAACAAACAACCATAGACTAAATAAACATTCTCTCAATATGTTTATCTCTTTTCTATTTAGAAAACCAGTACACCAGTACTAATTAGAAAAAGTAAGCTATAATTCTCTCACTTTAAAACGTAGGAAGTCGCTTGAAAATATTTAATACCACGTTTTCACTAAGACACATGTCGCGGAGACATATCGTCCAACTTACACGTGGTACGTCTCTACAAGTTTGTGGGACAATGTCGCTCGACAATTAGCTTGTTTACATTGGCCAGTTGTGATCAGTAGTTGGACTACACTACTGCCATTTCTAGAACACAAAGCGACACACGTTCTCACTTCTCAAAGCCTGTCCGGCGACTGTCGCCGGACACGCAGTTGCACACAAGTAACGCGACCCGTAAATGTCGCCCGATTTATCGCGCGAGACATGTGAATTTCGTGTCGAGCGACAGAGTCGCGTAACAAACGTCTGCTAGTGATAATGCGGCTTAAAAACTCACTAGTTTATACCTACATTTAAGTTCAAAACTATAATAGACAAGCTTCGACCAAGTTACCTGCTAATAAAATAAAAGAAAACGTATAGTATGGGCCCATAGATAATTTTATACATAAAATAGGTACTCTATCACAGTTAAGCAAAACCAATAGTTTCGAGAGAGACAATTTCGGGTCGCATTTATGGGATTTCAGATCGTAAAACAGGCAACAAAATATCTAATCAAGTATAAAGCAGAGTCGTATTATCTCGTAAGGCGCTCTAGACAAGTGGCGGGCGCCAGGTTACAGAGGGGCGCCGCGAGACGCGCGTGTACAACTGTACACAGAGTGACGGCAGGGACAAGATTAATTAGCGGCGCCTATAAGGTGCTTGCCTAGGGCGCTGTCTAGGCTTAATCCACCTCTGGTATTGTGCCTATAAATGGGTGATGACGAGTCAAATAAAAGACTGACCTATGAGTTTTTTCGATGTTTCATTTCAGAGTAGTTAGTTAGAAAATGCCTCATTAGGTACAGATAGTGTAAAACGTAGTACTTTTTGGCTATTTATAGAATTAAAATAGTTAATTTAAGAAAAAGCTAATTATTTTAAGGCTTAATCCCAGCTTTTAGTCCCAATTTTGGTAATTGTTTTGGTCGATTTTTCGCATTCACATCGCATTTTTCGCACGACAAAAATACATGGTACAAATTTCTGTAAAATCAATTAGAACTAATACTATCTTTGAGATCGCGACGAAAACAAGCTACCTACATTTGCACTGCACTTCTCAAAAACAACATAATATGGTAACTATTGTGTCTACAATAAGCAAATCCAGCAACTAGAATAAAATTATTACAAAAACATCTTAGACTTAGCAAATAAAGTAGAAAATCTACAAATTGTACTTATTAAAATTATTGCGACATTATTTAGGAAAATTGTTATAGCTCATGATAGACTAGGGGACAAATCTCCTACGACACGTGTCGCCAGCGACGTTGGGTGGAGTTGCGCGACGTTGCCGAACTTTGGTCGACATGTCTGGCAACATTAACGTCGCTGTGGACATAAGGCGCGCGTTGTCGCCTTATAATATGTCATGTCGCCAATACATGTTGTGCGACAGTTGTCCTATAGTGTATCCTTAGCTTTATGAAAGCGACAGTTCAGCGACAGTCAGCCATCTTGAAAAATTGACATTCTCGCGACAAACCTATCGCTATACTTGTCTAGTAGTAAATATTAGAAAGAGATAATATTATTTGCTTAGCCTGCAAAGGAACACCCAAGTAGGCCTTTGTACTTTAAACTGTCAAACACCAAGCGGTCACCGGTGACCGCAACCTATTGTTCTATAATTGTGTCTACAAAACCGGTACTCGACGAGTTAATAAATGTATGGTTATAATAAGGGCCTGCCCTGTCAAGTGTAAAGATTTTTTTTATGGATGGTAAGCAATCGGCGCCGCCCATGGACACATGAAACACCAGAGGGGTTACAAGTGCTTTACCAGCCTTTTAGGATTTGGGAATTTGAGAATTGTCGAGGATTCGTGGTGAATGGAGAAGGGGGGTAATTGGACCTCTAGTAACCTCACTCACGCAACGAAACACAACGCAAGCGATGTTTCATATCGGTTTTCTGTGAGGCCGTGATAACACTCCGGTCAAGCCGGCCTTTTTGTGCCGAAGCATGGCGACCCCACACTTATTCGACACAAATGTAAATTTGTTTATGAATGAATAAATATTAACGATATTTTTTTACCACTGTGACTGGAAACTAGTAGAGCTTTTCTAAGTATACATATTTATGTGAGCATACCGTTATTTTAGTTAAATTATAAACTGCAATAAATATATTACAATCTTTGATTTTGACATAAATCAAATTATAATTAATTTGAGTCCGTTTTCATTGTAACATCAATAGATTTATATTCGATTCGATTTATAACTTTCGCGAGGCATAGTACCTCTAAAAAAAAAATGGTTGCCTGTAAAGTCGTTTTTACGGGCGAAGATTTTACGTGACAACGTCTTTTTCTCGGTAGAATATTTATTGATATGAATATAATTAAATTGCACAATAGGAACAAGGAATTGAATGAACTAGTGCTGCGCGCGCGGCAGACCGATCATAGTTGAGTGGGAGAGAGACGCAAGGCATTCGGCGGGCCTCTCTCTCGTTCGGTGACTCATCGTAACGTTACCGAGCGTTAAACTTTTTCATAAGTGACTCCCAGCCGCAACCTAATTTAAGACGTTGTCACGTCAATAATAATTATTTTTTCTTACTCACTTCATTATTTGACAAGGAATTCTTCTAACATAGCTTGAAACCAGTCGAGTTCCTCGTCAAATAATTACGTGAGTAAGCCGACAATAAATTTTCAGAATTTGATAACTTCGTGTCTATTCTAAGTATTTGTGTCAATTTCTGAAAATATTTGCAATACATAGATTCGTGATGAGATGAAAACAGTGATATGCAAATATATTAAACAGTCAGCCAAGTCATCCAGTATGCAGGTAAGGAATTAAGATAGATTCAGTACAGAGACAGTAGCTATTGTTATACTAAATTGTTCGCTTTGTAACGAAGCCATATCTTTTGTAACCATTGGTCGGCTCTAGACAACCGATGGCTACTGTCGTACTGAAACAATCTTTATTTTCCTACCTGCATACTAAATAACAACACAATAAATGAAATACTACAAAATTAAAAATGTACATATTATAATAGGTACATAGTCGCGCGATAGTTGAAAGCAACTATTTTGTTGATTAGCTTGACTAGACGGTTTACACCACATGAGCTACTGTTTACATATCAACGTTAGCTCATGATGAACTAACTTCATTAAGAAAACATATAGGCAATAAGGTACCTCTAAATCGCCTGTTACCGTAAAACCTCGTATCTGATAAGCAACATTTGTCGCGCTACATGTTGCAACACATGTTGCTCAACTTGTTTGAAGGTATTGCGGAAGTTTTGTTTAGAAACGTTGTCTCGCCAACTTCATCGGCAATAGGTCACCAGAGGAACCATTTTTATATGTCTTTACTTATGAACATTTGATGTCCATGCATTTCGCACCGAAACAAACATCAAGTTACGCGCGATGTTGCGCAACGTTGTCTAACGTGTTGCGCGTCAATAGTAGCTTAGTGGATACGAGGCGTGTCAAAATTATTGCATAAAATATAACTTTACCCGACTACGCCCACAAAAAGAGGATTAAGTGGTTTATAAGTATATTATTGCACTTCATAGGTTGGTACTTAAAATCTAACAGAAGTTACTTCAAGATCTTTAGTTTCTTGCAAAACCAAAATAAATAAAAAGTTATTGTTATGACCTGCATAAGTTTTTGCTTACCCATTGCTTATATTTTTAGAAATAATATAGATATCACTAAAATTAAATTTGTGCAACTTAATTAGACACACATAAATCTCCAAAGGGCCTAGCAGGAGTCCTTTTTTACATTCAACGAGACTGAAATGTTACCGCGTTTAACCCTCTGATTGGTTAGCCTATATACTAATGTATACTTAAATTGAACGCGGTAACGTTTCAATCATGTAACGTAAAACAAATTCGTACTAAGCCCTCAGAAGCCTTAGTACGAGTTTCTTTTTCGTTAAGGGTAATCAAAACGAGACGGCGTCCGGCGCCCTGTTTTGTTGAACCTGTTGTTGTTCATTGGAGCCGACCAATCACAACGCCGAACGTTACGATTACCATTAAACGTAAACGGAACTCGTACTAAGCCCTCAGATCAAAAACCACGCACTCAACCGCACAATGATAGCTGTCATTCTGACATCTGTCAAAATTACATGACATAGTTTTTTTCTTTATTTAACTATTTTCCGTAGTCGGGTCGCAGTTTAAATTTATTATTCAACTTAAATTAAACATACATAATTATGTATAAACTACATAGCGATTTATATATTAAGATCTATTGTACATTATATGCTTTGTTATATTTGTTAGCATATGATTACTTTCTTGATTAATTTCCGTAATCTGTAATCTTGATTGATGATTACAAAATGTAATCGTAATCCTTAATCATTAATCTGATTACAATTTGCCCAACTCTGCTACTAAGCCCTCAGATCAAAAGCCACGCACTCAACCGCACAATGACAGCTGTCATCCTGGCGTCTGTCAAAATGACATGATATCGTTTTTTTATTAAACTATTTTCCGTAGTCGGGTCGCAGCTTAAATTTATTATTCAACTTAAATTAAACATATTTAAACATGTATAAACTACATAGCGATTTATATATTAAGATATATTGTACATTATATGCTTTGTTATATTTGTTAGCTGGTGTATAATATGAATGCGATGGTTAATAGTAAGACTGGGATATTATGTTGTAGTTTATGGGAATTATTACAAGCATCAGCATCGTTGCAGCTTTGAAGACAACCGTGAACATATCTGAAATTTAATATTCTTTTATATTGGATTAAACTTGTAGCAATTTCGTAAGGCCTATTTATCAAATCACTATAGCTATCAAAAATTGACTGACACTAGGAAATTCTCCATTGAACAAAAAGACGTTACGCTACACTCGCTTCATCTGGAGAGCACAAATCATCGACATATACTAATGGACATGCCGTACGCGTATAATCTGCAGTATTTTGTTGGTTTGAAAAGAGTGTTTCGGTCTAGCGCTATCTCTTTCTCGCTTATAACGTCTTAACTACGGTACTATTTTGAGAGAGATAAAGATAGACCGAAATTTCGTTTCCTCTCTTTCTTTCGGAGTCCCACAATTCTCATCTCTAAGGCATGTCCATTAGTATATGTCGATGGCACAAATAACAATAACCCTCATTCTTAACCAATATGACAGCTGTCAAAACTGACATCTGTCAGAATGCCGTGTGATAAATCAAACTTACCTCTCGTCGTAGTAGAATCTCCCACAGTGCGACATCCTGATGATCTCCGTGTCTGTGGTCGCTGTACCGGAGTCCAGACCACAGCCTCGAACTGTTATGGTCTCTCCTGTGTCATCTGAGAACATAGAATTATAGTTTTTATTCTCTCAAAGAGCAGATAGGTGGTGCTCATAATGAATACGTTATCAGCTTGGAAGACGTCTAGATATTGTAGTGAACAAAGAAGTTAGAGGTTTCAAGCTTTTAAACTGTCAAACACCAAGCGGTCACCGGTGACCGCAACCTATTGTTTTATAATTGTGTCTACAAAACCGGTACTCGACGAGTTAATAAAGGGTAGGGCGGTAGACAGATCATCTGATCTAAGCGATTATCGCCGCGCATTGACACCGGCACCACTATAGGAGTTACAAGAGCGTACCGTGCAGAGACGGCATTTTAGTTTATTAATCTTGATTTTTTTACCTGTTTAAGTACCTATCTGCATTTTTTAATCTTTTCTTTTTTATATTTGTATCTGTATGCGTGTCTACTGTCAAATAAATGCTTTTTTCTTCTTTCTTTCTTTCTTTAGGGGTTTGGGCTTCCAGTAACTAGCGTTGTTTAGGTATCTACGTCAGTTACAGTGAAGCCGTTGTATCACTCCGGTCGAGCTGACACAGCAGTGCCGAAATAATACACTTCCGTGTTTAAAGCTAATTAGTTATATAGAGTTATAGAATACAAGTGTGGGAGAGCCATGCTTCGGCACGAATGGGCCGGCTCGACCGGAGTGATACCACGGCCTCACAGAAAACCGACGTGAAGCAACGCTTGCGTTGTGTTTCGTCGTGTGAGTAAGGTTACCGGAGGCCCAATTACCCTCCCCTTCCCCAATCTCCCCAATCCCTGAATCCCCAACGATCCTCAAACTCCTAATCCCCAAAAGGCCGGTAACGCACTTGTAACGCCTCTGGTGTTCCAGGTGTCCATGGGCGACGCCGATTGCTTTCCATCAGGTGATCCGTCTGCTCGTTTACCGGCTTATGCCATAAAAAAAGAGAGCCTTACCAAAAACACCGGCAATTTTAATGCAAGAAGTGGCAGGGAACAGACCATCCCTGCCTTTTCTGCCTCCCATACAAGGAGACTCCAACATTTGCAGGCTGTGATTGTTGTGGAAGGGGTCATCACACGCCGGGAACCGACCGTTCATAGACACACACTTAAAGCAGTCTATGGCTTCCACTAAAACAAAAAATACACTTTCAATTAAATAAATAATATTAATGACTGCCTCGTTGGCCGAGTGGTAGCAAGTGCGACGGCAAGGGGTCTCGGGTTCGATTCCCGGGTCGGGCAAAGTATTACTGGGTTTTTAAAATATTCTCAGTAGTTGCACGGAGTCTGGAACTGTGCCCCGTATATGGCAATAGGCTCACCCCCTATTACATGGGACTCATAACATAAATAGTTGAAAGTGGGTGTTACTTCTGTGTGCACCTCTGCCTACCCCTTCGGGGATAAAAGGCGTGATGTTATGTTGTATGTTGAAATAATATTAAAACCTTTTTTGCAGCTTAGCATTTATTGTCATGCATTATTGCCGCGGAGAACCTAACGGGTTACCGGGGCTCCGGCTCGAAGTGCAGGAGTAGGAACGGGGTGGTTTTTAGTCAGTAAGAGTCTGACACTTCCTCCCGCCTCACCCAGGCGGTAGCATTCATTCGATGATTTTCCCCCTTTAAAAAAACTTTCACCTACCTATATGAATATAAAACCTACATTTGTATCGAACACACAGCGCCATCTTGTATAATTTATCCAAAACAACCACAACTACAAACAACTATTATGAAGATTGAACACAAATACAAACCATTCGCCTTTATAAGCAGAGTTGTCTTCGAACAAATCATCATTCTACTAGCTAGAGGACCAGAGTTCGGTAGCCACGCAGCCTTCTCTGAACCTAAGTACGACTAACTGCAGTTCGATAGCTTAGCGGTCTTCTGGAATTAGCCAGCTAGGGGAGGTCTGAAAGACGATAGCCACGCAATCCCTTTCATCCCACCACTTAGGGTTGCAATTATCTTGATTAGTTTATATTAAATGTATGTAACAGTGAAGTTGCCAATAAATAAATAATCATCAAGAACACCGGGACTTTAATTTCACAACCAGCGACCCTACACATTTAAATATCTAAAGAAAAACAACAATAGAATCAAATGAATTCCTTTTCATTTTCTTTCTTTCAATTAGACACTAAAAGGAAAATGGTCATAACGATTCACTATCAGATTCTTTACGGCTATTTGGCCATAAATATTAAGTCCATTCTCTCAATAAATAGATTGTCTTTACGACCATTAATACAACATTTCTATTTCTGGATTATATTGCTTCAGAAATGGTCTATGATAAATTTGTTATGAACTACAAACTACTATGTGTGACCCTGACTTCGCTTGGTAAAGAATAGACTTTATTTCTACAATTTTATAATTAACTTGCCATGCACCACTGACAAACGGTGAAGGAAAACATCGTGATGAAACCAGCAGCTGTAGCCAAATGCCATTTAGCGCTTGTCTACATGTAGAATAGAAAACCAAATTATATGGAATTGACGTAAAACTTGACACTTGTCAGTGTCATCCCCATACATTTAGTTTTCTAATCTGTCTGTAGACAAGCGCTAAAGTGGCGTTTGACTAAAGGCATAGAATTTCTAATTATAAGTTTGAAATCGCCAACCCGCATTGAGCAAGCGTGGTGATTAATGCTCTAACTTTCTCTGCGAGAAAAGAGGCCTTTTTTATGGAATGGGAGGCAAACGTGCAGACGGATCACGTGATGGTAAGCGATGGACACCCGCAACACCAGAAGAGTCACAGGTGCGTTGCCGGCCTTTTAAAAAGGAATACGCTCTTTTCTTAAAGGTTTGAAGTTCGTATCGGTTCGGAAATACCGCCGACGACAGATCATTCCACAGTTTTGCTGTGCGAGGCAGGAAGCTACGTGAGAAGCGCACAGTTGTGGCCTGCCAACCATCTATATGATGGAGATGCATATGCTGTCGTGAGTACTCTCACGATATAATACGACACTCCTCGTGGTATAAGCGATAGAAAATACACAATGAAGCTACATCTCTCTCTCTTGGTCAGCAATGGCTACTTATTGGCTGTACTAGCGCCTGATAAAGATCTGTTTTAGGGAGTTTGAAGTAGAATCTTGCAACAAAATTTTGAAACAGATATCTTTAACCGGTTGAGCTGAAATTTTGTACACACGTCTAGTTTGCATGATGATAAATGCTCAGCAGTTGCAATCAACACTACCCAATTTAAATATTATAAAAGGTTGTTGCAAGACTTAGATAACTATAGCCACTTAACGCTGAAATACTCAAACTAAATTCTAAGTTGCGCTTAAATATATTTAGTTCTGTTGCCAAAGAGGAAAAAAAATATACTTCTGTCACTACTACTAAGTACTCACACTTTCTTTGTAAAGGTCCCTCACCGGGAGCATTCGCGTGTAATGTAACGTCACAGATCTGAGCATTACATCAGTGAAGGAGGAGAACCGAGCATTACAATGCGCACCTTGTAATGATACAATGTGTAATATCTTGATACAACTTGTAACATCAATGTCTGACATCTTGCTATGAAATGCTCAAAGTCGAATCTATAAGTTACATTACACGCAAATGCTCGTTAGTCAGGGAGATATTATTGTATTGTTTTTTTTTAAACGTTGCCCCACACTAGGGTTTTCTCCTGTGTCGTGGGTGCGTTTACAAACATACAAGTTCACATACACATGACACCCAGATCCGGAACAACAACCTGTGGATCACACAAAGAGTTGTTCCGTGCGGGAATCGAACGCGAGACGCGTTGCACGGCAGCCAATTGCTCAACCACCGCGCCAGCCGTGCAGTCAAAGTCATTTTGAAATGAAAGAGATGGCACGATATTTAAGTACTTACAACTTAAAATTTAAGCCTTTCAGTACCTACTCGGACGTAAGTCTCATATTTTTATTTTAAAACTTTACCCCACACTAAGATAAGCCAACGATACACGGGCCTGCGGACGGCGAGCATGGGTGGCTCCCCGTCCGACCAGAAACAGACCCGAGCGTACGGCGCGTCGCGTTTCGCGCGCGCCTCAAAGAGCCATCAGACCACCACAGATGGGGCCCAATAGGGCCAATGCCGATTCGGAGTCGCGGAGAACCTAACGGGTAACCGGGGCTCCGGCTCGACGTGCAGGAGAAGGAACGGGGTGGTTTTTAGTCAGTAAGAGTCTGACACTCCCTTCCGCCTCACCCAGGCGGGAGCAGTCATTCGATGATTTTCCCCCCTTAAAAAAAAAACAAAAAAAAAAAGCCAACGATACAACTACGGGACATATGTCCTGCGACAGGTGTCGCCAGCGACGTTGGGTGGATGTTCTCACCGTATCGACAGACTTTGCTCTAGAAGTCACAGATACATTTGTAGCGACGCATGTCACATGTTCAAAGACAATTCACGCACAGACTATCAATGACACAAATCAACGGATGACGTCACCAAAATCCTACATCGCACATGTAAAGTTTACATCCCAATTAACACGGATAGAAATTCCCAACTAACGACTGTTGGGCAGAAAGCCCGACAGGCACGAACACCTCGCCTGGACGGAGGATCCTCCTTTTCCGATCTTAAGGAAGTGTACCTACTCTCTGTTCACTAAACATTCTTGTCCCTTAGTTGTATCCATTGGCAGTAGCTATAGTCGTTAACAATACCTTAGGTAGGTATTGACATGGATTGCGGAGCAGGTCTCTTCAGAGGACCCGGCGCCCCTTACATGTGCTGAGGGTGGCCATCGGGGTGGTTTGAGTGAAGTAAGAATTCCACACTCCCTAGGCTTTCTCCCCAAAAAGCTAGGCCTTTTGAAGGTTTCCCACCGACATAAAAAAAAGGTATTGACATGTATAAGGCCTTAACTATAGAAAGCTATTATAAAACTCACCAGTAGCCGACCAACCAATAACCACAAGGATTACTGCCAAACAGCTGTAGTAACCGCTGCCCGAATACTTCAACATCTTCTCTATATAAATCCTGTAACAAATAAAATATATCAATTAGGTAACAATATTCATTTAATTTATTTATTTATATTTTATTGGACACACAGAAAAAAAATTGTAAACATTGCAATAGTAATTTGAGTACAATGGGCGGTCTTATCACACGCGGCGATTCCAGACAACCTTTGGATGGAATTTTTGAAAAGTATCTGGGAATGGGTGATAGATGCACAATAAAATAAAACCAAAATAGAAGAAAAATTAAAAAAAAAAACAAATTAAACAATCAATAAAACTTACAGACTACATGTAATACAAATAAGATAAAAATGGGCAATACTATATATATAACTAGCGACCCGCCCCGGCTTCGCACGGGTGCAATATGCATGTATTATACATACAAACCTTCCTTAAGAATCACTCTATCTATTAAAAAAAACCGCATCAAAATCCGTCCACATACGGACATACAGCGAAAGCGACTTTGTTTTATACTATGTATTGATATTAAATGTAATATGATTACTACATATATAGTGCTATACAATTATCCGCCACGGCCACAATTTATCGTCTACGTAGGATTTTAAACCGCCAATCCCCAATACACCAGAATCGCGTTAATAGGGGATGCCTCGGAGCCGCGAACTACTTACGTGTTTACCGGGGCTCCGGCTCCATGAACGGGGTGATTTTAGTTAGTAAGTGTCTTGTTATCTTTCGTTAAAAAAACCTGGCCCCACAGGATTTTCTCGAGTGTCGTGTGTACGTTTACAAACATACAAGTTCACATACACATCACACACAGACACGGAACTACAATATATCGCACAAAGATTTGCTCCGTGCGGGAATAGGGTAGTTTCCTAAATTTTATTTTAATTTCCGCCTGGTACATTAATTTAAAACTTAAGACACGTATATTTTCTTTTCTCACAAAATTAAATACTTTCGACGATATATTAATTTAAAATATCGTGTGACGTCACAGCGTGTCACATTTTGTAGCACGTTATGACGTAACAACCTCCCACTCCTAAACTTAGCGCCATTTTATCTAAGTATTGCAACTTAATACGAGAAAATAAAAAAATACGTGTCTAATATTTTTTCATTATCTAACTGACGGACTAATTAGATTTTTCATTTTAATACCCTGGAAACTACCCAATCGAAACCGCCACATGTTGAAGAGAAAAATAGTTGGATGATTTCCCCTCCTCGGTTTCGCTTCAGATTTTCTTGTGCGAACAGCAAAGGAGTGGAACGTTTTGCGAGATTCTGTGTTTCCTGGGGTGTCTTCAAGTCTGGACTGAATAGGTTGTTTATGTAGGCGTGTTCCATCGTAGGACGCGTTGTCGCTTACTATCAGGCGAGATAGCGACGTAGTAAAAAAAATAATGTATTTAATTTAGGTAGGTATTTTTTATAAGGGGGGAAAATCATTAATGCCTTTTCCTGCCTGTGTGAGATGGGAGAGAGTGTCAGACTCTCACTGTCTAAAAACCACCCCGTTCCTACTCCTGCACTTCGAGCCGAAACCCGATAACCAGGGTTGCCACCTTTATTTTTGGTATTTAAAGTACATTGACGATTATAGGTAAGAAAAAAAAAGTACATAGTACACAAATAAAGTATAATTTATTGTTATTTAAAAAAATATATTATATTACTTTTTGCAGTTTGTATTAAAGAAGTATCTTTACTAAACAATTGCATCTTTACTAGAAATTGTCAAAGTGGCGCTGGTGAATGGCGAAATCGATTCAACATAAATCGATAAATATCGATATCGAATCGATAAGTTTACCGAAAAATACTTACGACTTTAATAGAAATGAAGTTTGCAAAAATAAAGTATTTTCGTGTACTTTATTATTTTCATAAAGTATAGAGTACAATTACCTTAAATAACGTACAATACTTTATTATAAAGTACGGGTGGCAACCCTACCGATAACCCGTAAGGTAAGTAGGTATAGCGCGGCAAACGAGAACTTGATTGCAATCAACGTCGCCCGCATGGACACCCAAGAATAGCAACACTAAAGGATTCAAAAATTACCTCAATCGGTAAATTTTGAAGATATATTTTTATTTAAGCAGCGTCTACATAAAGATAGATGCGTCTAGTTTTTATTGCATACAGAAAAAGATTTAGGTGTTGCTCCAATTCTTACAAAGATATACGACTTTCGAAATAATACAGATGTGCACAGATACATAATATATTTGTTTTGCTGTACTAACTGTTTAGTCATATTACCTCTATAAAGCTAAAGAGTTAAGTGTTTTAACGCGGTAATGACGGGAACTACTGCTTGGAATTTGATAATTCTTTTTGTGAGACAGGCTATTTTTACCGACTTCAAAAAAAGGAGGAGGTACTATGTTCGGCTGATTGTTTTTTTTCTTGGTTGTTCGCTCAGTACTCCGCCATTTGTGAACCGATTTCCAAAATTCTCGTTTTGTTTGAAAGGGTATAATCCCGAGATGGTCCCATTTCCATGAGATCAGGATCTGATGATGGGATCCTAAGGAAACTGAAGGGAACTTTCGAAAATTCTATGGGCGAGTAATTTTTATATTTGATGGGCCGACGTTTGACCACTAGTTCGCCTGGTAGTAAGCGATGATGCGGTCTACGATGGAGCACGGCGTCCCATAAGCAACCTATTCACTCGGGCCTTGAAGACTCCCAGGTTTTTCCCAGAAAATACTGCCTCTGGCAAAGAATTCCACTCTTTAGCACTGCGCACAAGGAAGCTTGAAGCGAAGCGCTTCGCGAGTGTGGGTGGAACACCTACCATGAATCGGTGACGCTTCGGCGATGTCTTGTGGTACGATGATGGAAAGGACTAGGGGACCTCAAGTTGTGCAATTCCCCCGCACACTCACCGAAATATACTTTAATACATCACACTACGATCAACAAGGGCGGGCGAATACGCGCGAGATTAGCTAGTAACTTATAACACTGTCCAGTGCCGAAACACCGCAAAAAACATATGCCAGGGTAATTAGGTATGCCATTTATAAAAACATAATCATGACGTAAAACGAGAAAATTCTGAGAAAATCGTACACAAAATATTATTAATAGCATCTTAAAAAAAATTGCTAATGGACATGAAGTAAGCATAGACAATAGAGTTCTTAATGGCGGATTTGACAGGTATGTAAACACAATTAGATAGCATAAACAAGAATACATTGATTTATTAAAAAAAAATGAACTCCCGCGTAAATTTACGTCAATATCAAATTGGGACTGGACAATCTCTATATTATACGAGTCACTGTTTACATGTCAACATTAGCTCATGACGATACCAGCGTACGTGTCAGTGGACAGTGAACCTCGCTACCATCAGTTGGCTGGACAATCTCTACACTACACGAGTCACTGTTTACATGTCAACATTAGCTCATGACCATACCAGCGTACGTGTTTCAGTGGACAGTGAACCTCGCTACCATCAATTGATTGGATATCTACACTACACGAGTAGTGACTCGTAAACAGTGGTTTACACGTCAACATTAGCTCATGACGATACCAGCGTACGTGTGTTACTGGACAGTGAACCTCACTACCATATGATAGTACCATCAGTTGACTGGACAATGACTAGGCAACAGGGATTATTTGAGACCAACTAGATACTCGCTGTTCTATTCATCACAGTGTGTTTGATAGCCTTATTTATTTGTTCATGTACACAACACAGACAATACACAGAAAAAAATATATATATTATAACAAAACAGAGGTACATAGGTACTGCATATCCCTTATGGGATTTCTTCCTGCAGCCCTGCAAAAGGAGAAATAAATACAACATATGACACAGTGTGTAACAACAAAAAAAAACAAACAAGAAGAAGACAATGAAAACTTAAACTGATAATTAAAATTAGACTAGCCAAAATAATACAATAAAAACATACAAAATAAATATAAATAAGTACCTATTTATATATATAGGTCCAACATATACATACAATATGTAAATAATACATAATATACATACGATATAACACAATCTGTACTTAAGAGGAAAGGTGATAATGTTCCCTCACACATTTTTTAAAGATTGAAATAGACTTAGAGTCACGTATGTTAGGCGGGAGTGCATTCCACAGCCTCACCGCATGAACCGAGAAGGAATAAGAGCCTTCGTTTCTAGCCTTCCTCAATGAATAGACTACCCAACACAAAATGAATTATTGATTTAGATCCAGTAGTTCGTGCGATTTGCGCGGTCAAACGAATAAACATACTCGTCAGCTTTGTAATATTAAGTACAAAAAGGCAAAGGACTAACGGCGCGATTTTCTCCCGCAGCCTTTCTAGAATACAGTTAAGTATGTAAAAAAACAAAGCAATTGTCTCGGCGCGTGTTACACCCGTGGCGGTTGCCATTGTTTGCCGGCGGGCGCAACCACGGCGGCTAGCACCAGCGCGCTCTGCAGTCGGTTGGCGAGCGATCGCGGGCGGCCGGTCTGAAAGTCAACTGATTGTTTAACCACCCGCCCGTCTTGCTATAATCAACCGTCAAGTTTGCGGGCGATAAACGCAACCGCGGCGATGCGGGATCGCAGGAAACTGCGGTCTTGTGATTTGTGAAAATTTCGCCTCCATTCCGAAATTCCGATACCGCGGCGGGCGCGGGAGAAGATAGCGCCGTGAATCCTTGGCCTTAGAGTTAAATCTACACCTGCAGGCCCACATTTTCGTAGAAATACATACGGTTATGTTATGAAGTATAAACAATTTCAAACAGGGCTATTCCTGTATCAATCTATAATGTACTTGGATATATTCCAAATCAAATTTATATGGTTTGCAGAAAGTAGCTGGCGATGCAGTTACGCAGTTTATTACATAGTTTTATTGCTCAGAGGGTTTAGTACCTACGAGTTGGTTTTATGTTTGAAGTAATCGAAAAGAAGACCGCGGTCAACTCTCTGTTTGGTTGGTGCGTTGGAGCCGGTCAATCAGGGCGTCGAACGTGGTCTCGTTTCGATTGATTTCAAACTCATACTAAGGCCTCTGACTTTTTTTTTTTTAATGGGACATGCCCGCCACAACCTCTCAAAACCGCTGCAACTCCTGTAAGCCAGGATCTACAGTTGATACAACCATGAAAACACCGGAACATTGAAGTCCGGCGCGTCCCAGGGACATGAGTAACTGTCTTGGTTCCCGCAACGAAATGAATCAGAAGATATTATAAGAGGAGAAGAAGAAAAAACTATAATTTCCACTTCCCTCGGTGAATTACTGCAGGAGACAGAATGAATTAAGCCTAAAGGCACAAAGAAGAGACTGTACAACTGGGTGAAGCCCAGTCGCCAAGCACCACGGAAATTTGACTAAAAAACTAAGTGGGTCCTATGTGTGAGCTGTTATACTTGCTTCCAATAATAGGTATGGCAAAAGCGCCTAAACGCACGGAAATTTGTTCTAGATTCCACAAGGTCCGTATAATAAGCTACACCTGATGAAACAATTAAATTATTCAACATAGTGTTACGTTCATATTGCCAGAGATCACACTCCCAGAGTATGTGATGGGCCGACTGCTCGTATCGCAACTCCTCTGACGAACATTGGCACCATGGTGAATCAATAAGTTTAAATGAGAACAATTTGCTTTTAAAGTTGCCGTGGCCAGTAAGAAATTGGGCAACACAGTGATCCACCTCCAACCATGTCCTCTCCAGCCGCTCATGCACGGATGGGAAGAACTGATACAGGTGGCGGCCCTTAATAGAAGATGCCCATCTACCCTGCCATTCAGTTATAAGCTCATCCCAAACGTCCGTTATTGGCTTAAACAATCTTGCAATTTTATTTCTATCACGTTCAGCCAGAAAGCCTGCTGACAAATTAGGTCTCGCACTGTAGTACATAGCAGCACGTCGCTGCACCTCAAGATCTACCGGAAGTACGCCCGCGAGCACAGGTAGGGCTTCAGTGCTAACCGTCCTATAAGCCTTACACAGGAAAATCAAGGCTAGACGCTGGCCTTGAAGAAGTTTTCGCCGTACCGCGCCTATTGTGGCCCTATCAGCCCAGACAGGTGCCCCGTAGCACACGCATCCCAGGTAGGTTGCTCCGTATATGATCCTGAGCGTAAGAAAAGAGAGACCCCAGGTGGCTTTTGAAATTCGCGTCAGCGCATAGAAGTTTTTTTTGGCTTTCTCACTAATAGCCTTAATATGCTCAATGAAAGAAAAGTTTTTTTCCAAAACTAGACCGAGATAGCAAACCGACTCCTTTCGTTTTACGGAAACGTTGTTAAATTTAATAGACGGCCACGACTTTAGATTTCCTTTAAGCAATAGCTGGTAAGTTTTATGGGGTGCAAAAGTTAAGCGATTTCGTTCGCCCCATCGCGAGATCCTACTGAGACAGTCTTTAGCCAAATTCTCCAGTCCGGCGCGGGTATTTGACTGTACTAGCAAAAGGCCATCATCCGCATATCCAGTCAAAGTACAGCCACAAGGAAGGGGAATCGCGAGCAAATCATCAAATCCTAAATTCCATAAATACGGACCGATAACCGAGCCCTGAGGACATCCCATTGATAAAGACTTCGACCGAGAACAATGACCAAGCTTCAGTTTAACGGAACCGTGAAGGAAATACGTGTATATTAATTTATATATGTTACTAAAACAGCCACGACCTTTCAGTTTTAAGAGTAACATTGGCCACCATGCGTTATCAAAGGCACCGGAAATGTCCAGAAAAATGCCTACTATATACTTGTGTTCAGACGAATTTACCATGGATCGGACAGAAAGAGCCGCGTCGACAGTAGACTTTCCTACAGTGAAACCAAATTGATTGTTGTGGAATTTTGGTCCACCTGGCAGTAAACGAGGAACGATAAGTCGCTCAAGTAGTTTCCCTAAAGATGGCAAAAGCGTGATAGGCCGGTATGACTTAGGGTCATCGGGGGGTTTATTTCCATTCTTGGGGATTATGCGAATGAATCCACGTCGCCATACACGAGGAAATACGCCTTCCGCGATACAACGGTTGAACACAGTTAGGATCGCATCAGCCGCGGATTTACATGCTTCTATTATCATTTTATTTGAGACTTTGTCTTCACCAGATGATTTATTTAAAGGCAAAGTTTTAACAATAGTTACGAGCTCGTTGATGGACGGTAGATCAGACACTGGTGATTCAGGCGGTATAGCTGCCCACGACCTAATCTGTAAGGCCTCTGACTGTCCACAATCTACCCCTGTACCAAATTTCATGCCGATCCCTTCAGCCGTATTGAGATGCATAACATAACAATCACGCCTTTTATCCCCGAAGGGGTAGGCAGAGGTGCACATTACGGCACTTAATGCCACTGTAACACCTATTTTTCACTATTTGAGCCTATTGGAGCATATAGGGGTTAGCCTATTGCCATATACAGGGCACAATTCTAGAATCCGTGCTACCACTGAGATTTTTAAAAAGCCCTGTAATACTATGACCTACCCAGGAATCGAACCCGACACCCCTTGCCCGGCAGTCGCACTTGCGACCACTCGGCCAGGCAGTTAAGATGCTTGAGTAACAAATGGAGGATGATTAGATGGAGAACCAAAGTTATCAACATAGCAAGCTGAAGAGGCAGTGGGCACATTTGTCGAAGAGCCGAGGACCGTTGGAAGCATTGGGGTAAACGTGTTCTATAGTGGAGACTGCATGGGGCCCAATAGGGCTGATGCCGATTCGGAGCCGCGGAGAACCTAACGGGTTACCGGGGCTCCGGCTCGAAGTGCAGGAGTAGGAACGGAGTGGTTTTTAGTCAGTAAGAGTCTGACACTCCCTCCCGCTTCACCCAGCGGGAGAAGGCATTCGATGACTGTCTCCGCTTAAAAAAAAAGCCGGCTCCAGTGAACCACAGAGCGCCGAACCCGGTCTCGTTTCGGTTACTGTGTAAAACGATCTCATACTTAGTCTTCAGAAGCGTACATAATGATACAATGTAACTCCCACTTTTCAGCATTTATGTTTCGAGTTTATGTGAGAGTGTTGTGAGTCATATAAAAGTAAAATAAATCTAATGTACGTAACATTTGATGCTGAATCCAATGAAGACGGATTATATAAATACAGCCGTTGAGTGAGATGAATGCGAAATATGTTTATAAATAAACTAGCTACTTCCCCGCGGTTTCACTCGCTCTGCTCAGCTCCTATTGGTCGTAGCATGATGTTTTGTAGCCTATAGCCATCCTCGATAAATGCGCTATCCAACACAAAAAAAATTATTCAAATCAGACTTGTAGTTACGGAGATTATCGCGTTCAAACAAACAAACAAAAAAACAAACTCTTCCGCTTTATATAATAGTTTTTTTTTTTTTTAAGGGGGGAAAATCATCGAATGACTGCTCCCGCCTGGGTGAGGCGGGAGGGAGTGTCAGACTCTCACTGACTAAAAACCACCCCGTTCCTTCTCCTGCACGTCGAGTCGGAGCCCCGGTTACCCGTTAGGTTCTAGGTTAGAAGGTCGTATCGGTTCGGAAATACCGCCGACGACAGATCATTCCACAGTTTTGCAAGTGCCGTATTGTGCACCTCTGCCTACCCCTTCGGGGATAAAAGGCGTGATGTTTTTTTGATAGGCTATAAAACATCACGGTGCGATCAATAAGAGACGAGCAGTTGATGAAATAACGCGGGTGCAGCTAATAGTCTACCTTTGAGTATCTTTGAAACTTTGTGACGGATTGTGACGCAATTTTAATAGATAAAGTCGTTCACTATGAGGGATTATTGATACCTATTTATAATTAAGGCGTTTGACGCCACAAATAATATTAAATAACACCTAATTTTTTTTAAATCTTGGTCAACACAAAGTGTAGGTCCTAGGTAACTTTAAAATAAGAATAGATACGTATACCTATTCGTGTAGATGCTGTTTTTTTTTTAATTTTATACTTAATAATCATTTTGAAAGCATTACAATTGACAAATAAATACAAAAAAAATATTACATCAATCTCTTAACCCATTTATTAAGTACCTACGTACCTACATTAAATCAATCAACATTAAATAACAATATATACCATAAATACAAAATAATAAAAACAAAACGAAAAAAAAAAAAGGTTTGCAAAAATAACTCTAATCTATGAATTTCATTTCATTTCATCTAATACACACGTAGCTAAGTACGTACCAAGGTAGGTAGTAGGTACTTGAGCTTTTAATAATCGTAGATAAACTTACCCAATTCTGCGGAACCAAAATACTGAAATAAAATCAATAACAGTCCTCACAAAAGCTAATAATGATAAAACAACACCGATATTGTAACTATTACTGTCATATTTAATACTTTAGATCCATTTTAGGTTATCAAACTGTTACTTACTAGTATATAATTGTAAATTTTGTATGAAATCAAATAAATCGTATTATTTTAGCCACCGGGACGCGTCTTACAAACTTATTCTATTCCTATCGACTGAAACCCTGAAGTAAAGCACTGAAATCGGTGTTACAAGATTGGAAAATTATTATTTGGAGTTTCATATTTTTTTATCTTTGAAAAAAACGAATATTAATACATTCCGTCATGCTGAGTTTTTTTAGAATAAAATAAAGTACCTACTTGCAATAGAAAATTGTAACATTTGCAATGAAAGAAAATTACTATATAATACATAGCGACCTTCCTAAACACGTTTGGTAACATCAAATATTGTCGCGTTCCAAACGCACATAGTCGGTATTTTTAGCGTACCTAAAGTCTAGAATGAAAATTGTGGGTATGAAGGTAGCACATGTATAAATAGAAGGAATATCTGTGGAAGGTAGTTATTTTATTTTCTGAATTATAGGTACTGCCTTATTTTTATTATAGTACTCTCTGAGTTACTGTTTCTTCACCTTTCGCTCAAAGCTCTACGCAATGCGCCAATGCCGAATTGGTGGCTCTTGTTGTGAGCATTCAAGATGACTATTTTATGGTTATTTTTCTCGTTATTGGTCTGCTATAGAAGCAGGCCGCTACTAAAGAATGATCAAGGGGTTGTAGGCCATGTCGGAAAAACTTAAGGATTTTTCAAATTTTTCTAAGTTATAGTAAGTAGTAGACTAACCCTGTTTACGGAGCCGCGGAGGACTTAAGGGGTTGCCGGGGCTCCGGCTCGAAGTGCAGTAGGAACGGGGTGGTGTTTGTTTAGTCAGTAAGAGTCTGACACTCCCTCCCGCCTCACCCGGGCGGAAGAAATTATTAAAATGATTTTATCCCTCAAACAAAACGAATAACCCCTATTACCTTTTTTTTAAAGGGGGGAAAATCATCGAATGACTGCTCCCGCCTGGGTGAGGCGGGAGGGAGTGTCAGGCTCTTACTGACTACAAACCACCCCGTTCCTTCTAGTGCACGTCGAGCCGGAGCCCCGGTTACCCGTTAGGTTCTCCGCGACACCCCTATTACCTGCCGAGTCACCAAGCGGTCACCGGTGGCAGCTCTCCACTTACTCCATCATAGACTTTATTTCCGATGAGTAGAGACTACTTACTTTTGTATGAGCAAATGTTGTGGATTTTCGTATCGTCGATTTAGCCGAACATTATGTACCATTACGTGGGATGGGACTCATATTGTGCCCCAATGCTAACAGAGGTGGACTAAACCTAAAGAAAGGTAAGCACCTTATTGGCGCCCCTAATATTTTTATCGTTGCCGTCACTCTATGTACAGTTGTACACGCGCGTCTCGCGGCGCCCCTCTGTAACCTGGCGCCCAGCACTTGTCTAATACGGCTCTGTATGTAGGTATACAGAGCCGTATTAGACAAGACCCTTCTGATAATGGAAATCAATGATTGATTGTGAACAGTGTACTTATCTGGTATTATAAC